ATGTATGTTTGGGATGAGGCAAAAAACGGTCAGATTATTTATATCTCCCTTATTTTTAACATTTATTCCAAGAATCTGCCACCAACCCCTCCCCTTTCAAAATCAACTGATCTCATCTCTTAAGGTTAAAATGTAATTATTGCCGATTTTTCTTTTCTTTAAATTAATTTCAAAATGGTGTTTATCTTCTTTCTAATAATACAAGCAATGTTCAGCACAGTCTGTTCCCCGTTAGATGTAAGCCTGTGAGTGTGACGTCACATCGACTTTGAAACTCGATATGTGCACACTAAATATGCACCTCTTAGCTGAGGTGAAACAAGTGGGCGGATCATGGATCTTCAAATTTTTGTAACCTGTTTTCTGTACTTAATACTCCCCACTTTCGTCTCCTCTTCTGACATTTGATTACCTAAGTAAAGGAAAACTTTAATCTAAAGGAATAAAGTTTGAGCGTTGTACTACGATGGCAGAATACCTTATATTACGTACAATGCCTATTCGCCATTTTGACACAGAAAGTTCGGGAAAACAGTGTACGTGTGACGTCGCACTTCGAAAAGTGACGTCGAACAGCAGTTGTCTGCAGTGTATTGGCAGTGTTTACATCTTCGCATTTCTCTGGTTATTTGTTGGATTTAATCGTTGTTACGACTGTAAAAATACTTGTTAGTGTTTTCGGTTATCGTAATGAATATGCATTGGTATGTATTTTCGTTCTCTGCGAGTTATTTCTTTAGGAGATCGGCATGTGTAGTCTTCATTCATGGATACTTGTAGAACGGAATATTTGGGATTTTTAAGCGCAGCATGACAGTACAAATACTTCTATCGGGTTAATTACCATTTAATTTGTACATCGCGTGGACTGATTAACAGTACAGACCGAATACACAATGTATATGGATTAACTACAGGATTTTTACCAATCTCAACTGGCGCATGCTCAAAGGGGTTAGTCGCCGCTGAGCGGCGACTAACCCCTTTAGGCATGCGCAAACTAACCCCATAAAATTTTCATCTAACCCCTGCCATTACCAGCAACCTTGTTTACACAAATAAATAAACAAACACAACAATAAACAAACAAATAAAAAGAAAAAAATAATTACAAGAAATAAATTAAATAAATTATTTATAGAGAGATAAACAAAATCTTTACTCAATACTGTATTAGACACAAAATGCAGAGAATTAAGGCAACATTTTTTTTCTTCTGAGCTACAAGTACATGTAAGGAAACTTAGTTGCTTATTTTTTCAATTCTTTATATTCCGAATGAAATAATTATTCCGAGTTAAAATAATACCCTGTTATATATATATATATATATATATATATATATATATATATATATATATATATATATATATATATATATATATATGTATTTCATATTTCAAAAATTTGGATTCCCTATTGTGACCCCGCCCTACCTCTGGGGGTCATGATTTGAGCAAGTTAGAATCTTCACTACTTAAGGATGATTTCACATAAGTTTCAGCTTTTCTTGCCAAGTGGTTCTTGAGAAGAAGATTTTTAAAGATTTTCCCTATATATTTCAATGTGAAACTTGGATTCCGTATTGTTGCCCGTCCTATCCCGGGGGTCATGATCCTCTTTACCAAGGATGCTTTGTACCAAGTTTGGTTTAAATTGGGTAAGTGGTTCTTGAGAAGAAGTCGAAAATGTGAAAAGTTTACAGATGGGCGGACAGCTAGACAGACAGACGACGGACAAAATGTGATCAGAAAAGCTCACTTGAGCCTTCGGCTCAGGTGAGCTAATAATATACACGATTAACGCAAAACACGATAGAACCTGATAAACGATCTACACGATAAACACAAAACAAGATAAATGGAAAACACGATAGAAAACGCAAAACCTGATAAACGGTAAACACTATACGATAGGATACACGCACGATATGATAGGATACAATAGAATTGTAAAGAATAAGGATGCAGGTACTGTATAATCCCAACCGGAAATAGATGTATCTCATCCGTTTCTTACTTTACACTGAGGTAATTTTTGAGGAATAAATGAGTGGTTTACAATAAAGAGGCTCGACCAGAGACTTCTGAAACAATTTAAAAGACAAAAAAAGTCTCTTGAAGTGAAAGATGTCATTTTAAAGTAGGTTAATGATTGATATATTAACACAAGAGGCCCAAGGGCCTTAACAGTCACCTGAGTATAATACAACAATTTAGAGGATCCATAGAGTATAAAATGAACTGAAAGGTAAAGCTTTGTTGCCCAAAAGCAAGAAAAATAGGGTGATCAGGATCAACAAAATAATTAGTCTAGTGTTCATTAACAGTACATAAATTAGGTTCTAATCTGTTCCCCATTTATCACTCTCACCAGACAGTATATAAACAAACTTATAATCAGTGCTTCTGTACTCTTTTAATTCCTTGTTGAAATCTCTTACATTGGCCTCTCTTGGTCTTTGATGAACATTTAATAAGACAAGTTATTTTTGTCTCATTTTTATTTATCTGTTACTTACAAGTCTACCTGATCATTAAAACTATGAAATAACTTTTTGTATTATACAATAAAAATTCTTGCATAATTCTCTTATTCTATTAACTTTTCAAGTACATTATTTACAGTGATTAATTATCACCAGTAAATGGCAAAGGGGAATAACTCCTTTCAGTAGAATACAAATTAATAGAGTCCTGGCCTGGACCAGAACACTTGATCAAATGGTTCTGATGTTCAAAAATCTGGTAAAAATACCCTTCCTTATTAAAACTTTTACTCTTTTTGCCTCTGATATGCCCAGGTGCAGAGAAGATTTTTAAAGCACTAGATAATAAATAGAGCCCCACCCTAATATCAGAACCTCTGATCCAGGGGTGATGAAATTCACAATTTTGGAAGAGGCATCCTTGCTTATCATAACCATGTATTTGTTTAAATAATACCCAGGAGTAGAAAAGAAGATTTTCAAAGAAATAATGCACTTTCATTATATGATCTATATAGCCCCGCCCTAGCACCAGAACCCCTGACCCTGGGGCTATGAATTTCACAATTTGGGTAGAGTCACTCTTTCTTATCATAACTATGTATTTAATTTGTTTAAATAATACCCAGGAGTAGAAAAGAAGATTTTCAAAGAAATAATGCACTTTCACTATATGATCTATATAGCCCCGCCCTAGCACCAGAACCCCTGACCCTGGGGCTATGAATTTCACAATTTTGGTAGAGTCACTCTTGCTTATCATAACTATATATTTAATTTGTTTAAATAATACCCAGGAGTAGAGAAGAAGATTTTCAAAGAAATAATACACTTTCACTATATGATCTATATAGCCCCGCCCTAGCACCAGAACCCCTGACCCTGGGGCCATCAATTTCACAATTTTGGTAGAGTCACTCTTGCTTATCATAACTATGTATTCAATTTGTTTCAATAATACCCAGGAGTAGAGAAGAAGATTTTCAAAGAAAAAATGCACTTTCACTATTATATATGATCTATATAGTCCCGCCCTAGCACCAGAACCCCTGACCCTGGGGCTATGAATTTCACAATTTTGGTAGAGTCACTCTTGCTTATCATAACTATGTATTCAATTTGTTTCAATAATACCCAGGAAAAGAGAAGACTTTTTAAGAAATAATGCACTTTTACTATATGATCTATATAGCCCCGCCCTAGCACCAGAACCCCTGACCCTGGGGCTATGAATTTCACAATTTTGGTAGAGTCACTCTTGCTTATCATAACTATGTATTCAATTTGTTTCAATAATACCCAGGAGTAGAGAAGAAGATTTTCAAAGAAATAATGCACTTTCACTATATGATCTATATAGCCCCGCCCTAGCACCAGAACCCCTGACCCTGGGGCTATGAATTTCACAATTTTGGTAGAGGGCTCAATGCTTATTACAATCATGCCAACAGTTTGACTGCTTGATGTCCAGGAGTAAAGAAGAAGATTTTTAAAGATTGCATTAATTTTGATGGTTTTGGCCCCACCCCTCAGGCCCCAGGGGGGCAGGGGCCATGAATTTCATAATTTTTGTTCCCCTTCACCCATAGATGCTATATGCCAAAATTGGTTGAAATTGGTTTGCTGGTTCCAGAGAAGAAGCTGAAAATGTTCAAAATTTACGACCGACGAACGACGCCGGACAAAAAGAGATAGCAATAGGTCACCTGAGTGACTCAGGTGACCTAAAAATATGAGCTTGAAGCAGGGCTGCCTGAAACTGAGTTAAGTACCTTTTGGTAAAATTAAGTAGGGGTACCCCGTAATCAAAACAAGTGCCTGTGCTAATAATTATGGCTTTGCTGTTCATGAGAAGAACATTTTTAATTTTTTTCTATATGTATTCCTTTGTAAATTGTACTCCCCATTTGTGGTCCTACCCTAACCTCAGGGGTCATGATTTGAACAAACATGAATCTACACTTCCTGAGGATACTTTGATATTAATATGATTAATCATGGCTTTCCTGTTTTCGAAGAGGAGATATTTAAACGATGTGGTACTGCAGTTCTTGAAAAGAAGATTTGTGATTTTTTCTATACATTCCTATGTAAAACTTTGTCCCCCATTGTACCCCCCCTCAGGGGGGTGGGGGTGGGGGGTGAGGGGGGGGGGGGGTCATAATTTGATAATTTGAACAAATATGAATCATCACTATATATGTAAAGTCTAAAGAAGGTTTCATTATTGTTTCAACTTATTTTGGTCCAGTGGTTCTTTAGATTTTAAAAGAAACCACCTATTTCTTCATAATATCCCTTTCAAAGAGTATGTGGTCTTTCATTTAAACAAAGTTGAATCCCCTTTACTTAAGAATGCTTTGTGACATTAGTTTGGCTGAAATTGGCCTGGTGGTTCTAAAGAAGAAGTTGAAATGTGAAAAGTTAATAGAAACTCTTTCTTATATCTTTAAATTTCTATTACCACGTATGCACTATTATTTCATTTTGCACAAATAAATTATATTCTTACTCTGGCGAAAGGAAAAATATTTGTGAAAAAGCCATGAAAAGATGTGTAAATCTTCCCTCTCTTGGTGTTGCTTGACCCAGTCTTGCAAGAAGCATGGAAAAGTGTCTCCAAAACTCAAAGAGATTGATCTTCCATCCAAAAAATAATCTACAATAGAAAATGCAACATTTCACAATCAGCACTAACTTGACTCGCACGTCAGTTCATTTTCAAATGTCCTACTTACTAATGTCCCCTCCCTTGCAGACAGGGGGACAACAAGAGGCCAATGGGCCACAACACTCACCTGAGTAGCTTTCGCCCTGCTCTTCTTCACCTGATTTCCCCCCTTGTTACACTATTATGGCCCCGTCTTAAGCCCAGTAGTGATGGTTTGAATAATTTTGACTCAACACTACCCCTGGATGCTTCTAAGTAAGTTTCAGCTTTTCTCATCAAGTGGTTCTTGAGAAGAAGATTTTTCCTACATATTTCAATGTAAAACTTGGATTCCCCACTGTGGTCCCACCTACCCCTGGAGTCAAGATTTAAACAATTTAGAATCTACACTACACCCAGAGTTTCCACAAAAGTATCAGCTTTTCTGGCCAGGTGGTTCTTGAGAAGATTTTTTTTTCTACATATTTCAATGTATAAAACTTGTTCATTTGAAAAATTATTTTGGTAAAAGAACATTCTGATTGTACACACAAGTACTCTGAAGTTGACATTAAAAAGACAATATCTATGTTGTTTTTGGAGACCAGGTCTTCCAACAATCAATTGGAATTCCCATGGGTACCGATTGTGCTCCGTTATTAGCAGACCTATCTCTGTATTCATATGAATCAGATCCAGCATCTGAAGCAAGACTGGTAGTATGCATCCTTGGATGTATCACCCATGCAAGTTTGGTCCACATATTAAGGCTTATATTTACTCAGAAATCAGATCTGCACCCAAAACTTTAACCTGTTCACTCATATGGAAAATGTAGGTCAGATCCAGCATCTGAGGCAAGCTTGGTAGTATGCATCCTTAGATGTATCACCCATGCAAGTTTGGTCAAGTCAACATAGAGCTTATACTTACTCCAAAATCAGATCTGCACCCAAAACTTTAACCTGTTCACTCATACGGAAAATGTAGGTCAGATCCAGCATCTGAAGCAAGACTGGTAGTATGCATCCCTAGATGTATCACCCATGCAAGTTTGGTCAACAAAGGGCTTATAGTTACTCGGAAATCAGATCTGCACCCAAAACTCTAACATGTTCACTCATACGGAAAATGTAGGTCAGATCCAGCATCTGAAGCAAGACTGGTAGTATGCATCCTTAGATGTATCACCCATGCAAGTTTGGTCAACATAGGGCTTATAGTTACTCGGAAATCAGATCAGGGTTCATAATTAGCAGGAAATACTCGCAAAATGCAAGTTGATTTTTTAAAAAGCGAGTAAAAATAGTACACACTCGACATTTTTAGCGAGTGGTGATTTTTGACCCCGATTGTCTCGTATCCGTATTTTTCCAGTAATTTGTCTTGCTATTTGAAACTTTAACAGAGTCACAATGCATTCAGTAAACCTCGGTTGATTCTGTCACCTTCATCAATGCGAAATCTCAATCAGCTGATTCAATTTATACAAAAATATTTCATTGTAGTTTTATTTGAGATATAAAATGTGTCAATCTAGTCAAAATTTACCTTAAATAAAAAGAGTATTCATTATTATAACATCAAATAATTCTCCCATAACTTTTCGAGGTTCATTTTCTGCATCAAGACAGCCATGTTAGGTGCCCACGGTAAATATCACACCTGGTTAATTAAGTCCGGGATGTTTGACTCCATTATTCATTAGCAAAAAATTACATGGATCGACACTTACTTTAAAACCAAATTAGTTGCTAGCAGGGCTAGCAATTTCTTATTTTAACTAGCCCTGTTCAGGTATTAGTTGTCCCACAGCCAAACGCTGCTGGGCGAGTCACAAAGCGACGAGGGGGTTAGGTTTGGGAGGGGGTTCCCCCTCCTGCTGGTGGGGGTATGGGGGACCTTCCCCAGAAAATTTTGAAATAGAGATACCAAATCCTGCATTCTGGTTGTATTTGTATAAATTTGTATGTTGATTAACGTCCCTCTCGAGAATTTTTCACTCATATGGAGACGCCACCACTTGCCGGTGGAGAGCTGCAAATTTTGTCCTATGCTCGGCACTTACGGCCATTGAGCAGTGAGGGATCTTTATCGTGCCAGCACCTACAGCGACACGGGACCTCGGTTTATATGGTCTCATCCGAAGGACCGGTCTCCACGTCCCACAGTGGGATTCGAACCCACGACGTAAGGATCAACTCCTTACTTCACAACTCTAGAGCAGACGCTCTAACCACTGTAAATTGGGTAAAATGATATGTCACTCTATGACTGTACCTAAGAATATTTTTCTATTTGAAAAATTCTACATTTACAGTCATTTAGGGTATTACGAATCACCTTTTACATTTTGACTTACAACATGTACAAAAAATAATAATTATGATGATAAAACATATGAAAATCAATTATCAGCTAATTTTATTTTTTGGCCTGAGCAAAACCATGTGACATTTTCAATACGAATATTTCTTCGATAAGCATGGCAAGTTAATATATTAAAGTTAAGCTCTTCTTAATTTTTTTACCTGATAATATACTATGCTATTAATAAGAGGTTGATTGTCTCACATGTGGATGTGTTGTGCGAGGTACAGGTAAATTATCAAGAAACGCTGGCTGATTTGGAATACCCTAAATGACTCTAACAAAATTGGAACTTGTGTAATTTTTTTAATTAATTTTTTCAATTCTTGTGAGTGAGTGTTTAGTAAAAAATTACAGTAGCCCTGCAGGGCAAGCTTAAAGACATGTTTAGTAGCCCGACCTTAATTTTCAGTTGTCCTGGGCCAGCGGGCTACTGTTAGTGTTGAACACTGATTAATCCCAACCTACTGACCTTTGTTCATGTTAATTCTTTTTTTTTTTGGAATGTTACAGGAAACAAATATATATATTTTTTTTTAGGCCAGATTACCTTTTTTAAATGTAAAAATCTTGATGATCTTTAATTCTGTACTGACTCACTACACATGATGTAGAAGGCACTGTATTGTTATTGATTTAAATAAGCATGAAAAAGACATTTAATCATTCTTTTAATTTTAGCTTGTAGATCTTCATTTTAGCCTGTTGAAATCAGATCTGCACCCAAAACTTTAACCTGTTCACTTATATGGAAAATGTAGGTCAGATTAAGCATCTGAAGCAACCTTTGTAGTATGCATCCTTAGATGTATCACCCATGCAAGTTTGATCAACATAGGGCTTATAGTTACTTGGAAATCAGATCTGCACCCAAAACTTTAACCTGTTCACTCATCCGGAAAAGGTAGGTCAGATCCAGCATCTGAAGAAAGACCAGGTAGTATGCATCCTTAGATGTATCACCCATGCCAGTTTGGTCAACATAGGGCTTACAGTTCCTGTGAAATGAGACCTACATCAAAAAATGCACCAAAAAAGTTAACCTGCTCCAAAAACATTAACCTGGTCATTCCTTAGCTGAAATTGCAGCATCTGAAACTTTGACTGGTACAATAAAACACATAAGAAGTATCTTGCATGCATATCTGATCAATGTAGGGCATAGAAGTACTTAAAAAGAAAACTGCTCCAAAAACCTTAACCTGGAACGCCGAAGCCGAGGGTATCACATAAGCTCGAGCTCCCCCCAACTTCGTTGCAGTGAGCTAAATATGTGACACAAGAAGATTTAATAGCTCCTTTAAAAAATTTATTAGCCTGGTTCAGCAAATGTTTGGAAAGATATGTCACCAAATTGATCTTGCACTGTATTCAAAAGCATACTTGCCAACATTTTCCTACTTCCACCACGAAAGAGTTCCACTAATTAAGTTAAGTAATCACGATATCAAGTATTGGATATTGATTATCTAGAGACAAGAAATCGTTTGTAAATATGATCATGGCACTTAAGAAGATAATAATGTACATGTGTATATTGTATTCAGTGTGTAAAATGCTTGGAAAAATGCATCTAGTCTTTCATAAAGTAATTTGGAAAACTGACACCTTTTCAAAATGTAATATTTTTATAGTAACCCATTACACAATTCAACTTGTGCAGCTGATTGGTGGTTTTGTTAGTCATGTTGGTGCCTCATTTAACATGTAAATTTATTTGGAAGTCACAGAAAATAGTTTCCTCAACCTATCATGTTTTGCGTTTGGGTAATTAGGAAAGATGCCTCTTGCAAGTGGACTTTAATTATTGCATTAATTATTTTTTTAATTTAGAATTCTTCCCATATTTCTTGTACTTAAAAATTGATGAAATTCTCATAGAATCAAAAAGACAATATCATAAAGTGATTGTATCAGTTAGAATTACAGGCAAGGTCAGGTCAAGGTCATTATCTTTTCCCTGGACATTAAAAAAATATGGTTGCCATAATCATGCAAGACCTTCGTCTATTTAAAAAGATTATTTTTTTATGGTCTACAAGATGATTTTACCAAGTTGACATAAATAATTCAACTTAAATGGATAATGGTTTATCCGATTTTTCTCTATTTTTCTTAAATTTTTATGATATACAGGTAAACTTTGTTATCTCGACATCGACGGGACTATCGGAAAATGTCGAGATATCCGAGGTGTCAAGATTCAGAGATGAGACTCAGCGTCCTAGATTTTACTGCACAGTGTATTTTGTACATGACTTCGATAGACTGTAGCACATTTATTTCAGCCACCCCTCAATATTTATTTGAAAATCTAAGAAGTTATTCAAAAGTGTTAAGATATTTATGAAATTGTCCTTTCTCTTTATTGAAATCTTCTCATTTTACTAAAAAAAAAGTTTTCCATCCAGCATTCCGCGTGTAACTTGCTTTTTTGTCATACAGTCCCTGAAACGTTCTACTTTGATCCCATTTTTCCGTTCGCTCACCATTCATTCAGCGTGCGTTCACCGTTCGTCCACCGTGCGTTCACCGTTCGCTCTCCGTTCACAGTTTTGCGTTCAGCGTTCACCGTGCGCTCGCGTTCACCGTTCACAAAGCGTTCAGCGTTCGCTCTTCGTTCCATTTACTTTGCGTTC